GMGACAGGACAAGGGGTAATGGGTACAAACTGAAACCCAGGCAGTTCCATCTCCATTGTGAGGAAGAACTTCTTGACTGTSAGGGTGACAGAGCCCYGGAACAGGCTGCCCAGAGGGRTTGTGGAGTTTCCTTCTCTGGAGATCTTCCAAATCCGCTTGGATGCAACGGGGTGCCCCGTGCTCTGAGCGATTTAACTTTCCCTTCAAAACCCACCTGGATGCCACCCTGTGCCATGTGCTCTGGATGTCCCTGCTTGAGCAGGGGGGTTGGACTAGATGATCTCTAGAGGCTCCTTCCAACYTCAATCATTCTATGATTCTGTGTGACCAGTGTGTAGAGTTTGAAGTTCTAATACATGTCTTGGTTTCCAGGCCCCCACTCAAGCTCATCTCCTGCCTGGTCAGCCTGGTCTTTACTGGTTTCTGATCCCTTTCTCTCCTCTACAGCCACCTACTTCATGCTGTTCTCAAGCCTTGAGCTGCTGTCTGTATCCTTAGGATCTTGATCTTCACTCCATCTCTCAGCTACACCTTGGCTTGCCCTTGGAGCCTGCCTAGCTCTGACACTTGGGCTTCCTGACTTTGTCCTTGGGGACAGTCCATTTGCCCTGGCCTGGTCTCACCATGCCTCTATCATAGCCCATAGTACACACTTCCCATCCAAGCTCAGTATGGTCCAGACATGAAATCTGACCACCCAAAAACCAGCTGCAACAAAAATAACTCAGAGCTGTGACTACTGACCTTAGCCTAATCTCTGAGTAGCATCTTACTACTTAGTTATCTTTATTATTACCTTAATAAGTTACCTTRCCTTTATTCTTTAAAATATCTCCAAAAAAAATGCAACCTGCTAGCTCATTGACTTGCCTCCGTTTCCCTCCCTACCCATAAGCCAGGTCTCAATACCCATAAAACCCAGGTTAATAAATAGTAACAAGAAAAAAAATAGTGAAAGCAATAAAAAAATCATACTGTGGTCATGGATAGAAGGAAGAATACCTGGATTTTTTGGTTTTTTTTTTCACTGCTGACACTTTTGCCCATGCTCCCTCCAATGTTCCCTGCCAGGCACTGCACCGTAGAGCTCAGTTCTTGGCTGGCAGCATTTCTAGTAACATCCAGTCCTGGCCTAGAGACAGTTTCTGCTCCTCGGCCGCCCCGGTAGCCGTTCTTTGAACCCGCCTTGTCTCCTGGCCGCGGGCACTCACTCTGACATCTTTTGCTCCACGGGTCAGATGTTGTTAATCTCTCGCTCCCTGCCTGGCGCTTGATGGGCAGCTTCTCTGCTCAGCTAATACAGCTTTATACCACAGCTCACATCTAATCCGCGTGTTCTTCCGAATCACGCTCCTAAATCAAACCTGTCTTTTCGTTTTAAGGTCTCGAGGCAGTCCTTGTCCCCAGCGCTTCCATCACACCTCTCCCAGGACTCCTCAATAAGCATTTCCAGTTTGGCCTCAGGCCATTATCACACAACAGAGACTGATTGCCCTCACAAAAGACCCATTGCAAAGCCAGGATTCACATCCTATTTCTTTACTTCCTTTTCTCTTTATTTTTTTCCTCTCCCACTTTCCATCTTTTTTTTYCCCCCCAGATGCTTCTTCTCTGCCTCCTCATATGTCCCTTGTTGATGGGGCATTTTGAAAGGGTCAGAGAGAAATGGGTGTTGTGATGGGTGCTGGTTCTTCCCCAGTTGATCTCACTACAATCTGTTCAGCTCTAGACAACTCCCACAGGCGTCTAATTTGTGTTAAGGGACCCAAATTCTGCCTGCAGATGCCTGTTTCCCCCTCCATCAGCTCCAAAGGGGCTGATCTCCATCCATCAGCTCCAAAGGGGCTATAACATGCCTAATGTGACCAGCTGCTCATGGACTCCACTGTGGTGGCAAAGGAAAACGTCAGAGCTCCTTGTGGCATTAGCACATGTCTAGTGCCCATGGTTGCCGTTTTGTTGGGAAATGGTCTGGATTTGGATAAAAAGAGACACTGATCCACATCTCCCATGGTTGAGGTTGAATGAGGTTGAAAGGGACCACTGGAGATCATCTATCCAACCAAGTGACCAGCCTAGAGGAAGGGCCACATATTTGGCCAACAATTTCCTCAAAGCTCTGGGGGACACTGGAGTTGACACTGACAGCGCAGCACAGGCTGAAGGCACCATGAGATAAACAGTGATGGATCAGGAGGAAAATATCCAGCTGRAATCTCTCAGCCCTACACGATCTTTGCAGTGCTGGCTCCTGGGAAACACCTCTTTCCAAGCAAGGAACACGCTTYGGAAAAATCATTGGAGAACTCTAAATATAACATCCCACCAGTCATCTTTACTGCTTTATTTTTCGGGGAAGAAATATAACCACTGGAAATAGGATTTTCAGGATTTTTATTATTATTTTCTTAGATGGTTATGACCACCGACTTATCTTCTCTACTGGAACAGACACACACACATAATATATATGGATGTATATTCAATACCTTTTACTCATGTATGCAACTATAAAATACCAAAAACTACCACTAGATGGAACATTCCCTTTCTTCAGTGTATTGCCTTATTTCACTGCCCTTGTGCATGTTCACAAGCTTAAATGTGGGATCAAAACCTTAAACTACTAATTCGTAGGGACGCATCTACACATTTACATCTGTGTAGAACGATTTGGACCTCGGACCTCAAACCTAYTGCAGTGTAAAATAAAGTGATCAATAATTAAAGCAGATATAGTTATGTTTATTTGTTGAGCTGTGATTCTTTGCAAAAAGGGGAGTAATATAACGATGGGAATAAAGTGCTTCGATGCACTTGACTATGAAATTTTRAAAAGAAAGCAGCAGTAAATCTCAAGGACTCATTTTAACTGAAATTACTCGCAATCTTACACTTCCAATGGCTTCTGTAAGACCACAGCGAGGCTCGCTCAGACGTGTGCAATGCTGCTATCTATCGGAGCATTAAGATATTACACCAACACACTCAGCTTAAGAGACTTTGACCTCTGCAGAGTGAAAAACGGAAGCAGAATTTGGCTCATGTGAGATGGTTCACGCAGGAAAGCGGCCGTTAGAACATTTAATGTATGGATGACACTACTGTTTAATAGAATGGAGACCTCACAGGGATAATTCGTAGAAATGGCTATTATTGTGAACAGCAGTGCTCTGGTCTGGGAGTAGAAGGATGATTGGAATGAGGATGCAGCCCCTTGCGTTTCAGATCCAGGCACTGGGTAAAGAGCAGCCTTTGCTGAGAGGCCATCAGTGGTAATGGAAGGGGAAGAGGGTCCTGGTAGGTGACCTGGGAGCACGAGCAGACAGACTGAGCGGCCTGGATTTCCTCCTGGAGGAAAATTCTAAGTGAAAGTAACTTGAAAGATGCATTGCCTGGTAATTTCCAGGTACAAATGATGGTTCTTCTTCAAGGAAAGATAGAAGATCTATATAAAAATGATAGATTTCAAGTGGACCTCAGTAAACTCAGAGAATTAATGGGTAAAATAAGGAGTTTGGTCTATAAATTAATGGCAACTGGCCACCCCTTAACCTCACACCCATAACAGCACCAGTACCTAAGACTTAGCTGCAATCTGAAGAAAACAAGGAGAGTCAAGGCCAAGCCATGCAGACTGCATAGAGACACATAGTATAAGATTCAAAATAAGAAAAGACAAGGAATAAGAGACACCACCAAGGAGACACTTTTATATAATGCAGCAGTCACAGCAAGAAAACAAGGGTAAGGCACAAAACAGCAGAAGGGGCAAGATGTGATTCATCCATCCAGTCTTCCCCAGAAGTATTAATAATCATCAAGTGGCTAATGCAATTGGCAAAAGAAGCAGAGGAAAAAGATCTCAGGTACTAAAGAATCCCAGAATGGCTGAGCACTAGAAAGTGTTTTGTTTGTTTTCACAGAAGTCAAACCTGAGGAATATGACCTGAAAATAGAGAACTGGTAAAACTATCAGATTAAAATGTGTGCTGTGAGAACTTTTATAGGTTGGATCCGAGATTAGATGGCTCCAAAAAGGCCAATCTCATAATATTCTTTAAAGAGAGAGCCAGAAAGGGCAAACTGGAGTAAATAGAGAAGGCAGATTAACAGGAACTGATGTTAAACTATCGAAATAAATCAATGACCGATTTGTGAGGTTATAAACTTATATGAACAAAATACACTCGGTATTTTCCTTATTGACCCAACTTATATTACGGAGTAAACCAGCTGCCTTCACAGGTGACTCCAAGCTAGGAGACATCAAAGACACCAAAGGATAGGCCTGGAATTCCAAAAAAAACATGCAGAAAATGGAAATGCTCCTTGCAGAAGATGAGTATTGAACTCATAAGGGCAAAACAGGGCACTAATCCGTGACACCAGCACAGAACATCAAACCAGCAGCGCTTCCCTCGAGGATATGCAGAGCTTAAGTAAGGAAAACACATTGAAAAGCAAAAAATGTGCCTCAGAGCAAGAGGGAGCAGCCCCTGGGCTGCATTTTGGGGGCAAAAAGGGCCAAAAAGGGGCTGGGGGACGGATGACAGCATCTCCTAAGGGCAATTCATGAAGCAGGGCTGCCACAGAGGGTTTAAGAGGTGCGATGGGAAAGCAGAGGCCAAGGAGACGACATGCGCAGTCCGTACAGGCGGGAAACGAGGTTTAAACGTTGGTTTTAAGGATTAAAACGGGTAGTTCCCTCCCCTCCCCCACAGCGGGCTCCTCCCCTCCCCGCCCCACGCGAGCGTTTCGTCTGCCCGCAGAAACGCCTGCCTAATAACCACCCGAATCCGCGCGGGATCGCTAATTTTCAGTCCATTCCGTATTTTACTAAATTTTACCACTTAGCTGATGGCTTTACCCCTTATTTTTTCCTCAAGGCTGACAGCTACGCCCTGCGACTTCGTGGCTTTTCAAGCGGACACCTAACCTGCGCCCCAGAGTGCCAAAGGCCCCCGGCGGGCGCCGAGGCGGGCGCCGGGAGGAAGGAAGGCCCCCAAGATGGCGATGCTGGCGGAGCGTGAGTGGCTTCCCGCGCTGCGCGGGGTGGGGGGGAGCG